TGTCCGTGTAAATTATTATCATTATAATTATTATTGCAATTATTATTATTATTATTATTTTTGTTATTATAATTAACAATATTATTATGGTTTTGTGAAAATTAAATGTTGATTATCAACATTTAATTTTCACAATAACAATATTATTATGGTCTTGTGAAAATTAAATGTTGATTATCACCATTTAATTTTCACAAGACCATATGGCTTTATTATATATAGGATTATTATTATTAAGTCCCACCCAACGCCCTAATATACTGCAGTACTCCACGCCTAAAATGCACAATTATATTGCAAACCAAATTCATTAATAATAATAATAATAATAATAATAATAATAATAATAATAATAATAATAATAATAATAATAATAATAATAATAATAATAAGTGAAATGTCATTTTTACCCTCATATTTAACCGTCCTAACACTTACTTAACAGAGAGGGGGGAAAATAGCCACTTCAAAAACAATTGAGGGGATAAAGTGGTTACATAAACAACACAGGGGAAAAATGTGCTATTAGTAAACAACACTGGGAGAAAAAGTGCCATTTTCCCTATTATTAAATTTTAAATAGATAGATTTTTTTTTTTGAATGCTACTGACTCTATTACATTGTAGTATACATGTCATCTGAACACAAGATTGAGAAACATTGATTTAAGAAAATAAAGAGTATAATAATTCATAAAGAGTAACTTTGATTTAAGAAAAAACTTACAACCTCCACTTGAAAGTGCATTTTAAGCGAAGTCTAATTGGTAAAAGTGAAAACAACCTAAAATGTACCTATAAAATTATTTAAATAATTTTTTAAAAATTAAAAATACAGCTTTAATTATGGTCACTGTCTGATACACACATTATTGGGGTGACCTTTAATCGGTTCAACAAATTCTCATTTGTTAAATGGAAAAAGGCCCAAATTTAGCAAGCTTCAGATTACTTTTTGGTACCCATATGGTATTTTTTTCCCTTAATTTATATTTTTTGTCTACTCATTAAAGTTATAACAACTATTATTGAAGTTCCCAAGCTAAGATTTCATACTTTTATTAGAGAAAACTTCCCATTTAGATTATTAGCTTTATCCATGCATGCTAAGAGCATAGAGGGCATATTACTCCTACTCTACAGACGGGTGAAAGAGGTAAATCACAGAAAATGCCTTAATTAGTTTACAGGTTTCAAATACTTGAACACTAATTTCCACAACAAGGGCATGATTCAAATCCTGAAGACTGGTGCAATGGATGAAGTAAATTGTGAAACGTGGCTCAATAGGCCTATAGGCCCAAGTCGAACTCCATACTTCCTTGGATTCGAACCTTGTATCATGCGACTACTAGCAAAGCAAAACTTATAAGTTTATTTTGAGTTGGTTGACCAATTAATAGAGATGTCGATTGGGCAAGTCCGCTTGATTTTGGGCTAGCCATTTCAGACTTATTGGATCAACTAATCGATTATATATTTTACTATTTCATTTTCAAGTTCGGATTGGCCCTAACCCTAAACCTCGGATTTTCAAGTTTATCGTACAGGCTGAAATAAAATTGAAAAGTGAGAGAGGATACCCACATTTAGAGTCGGCAACATAGGCCCAACTTGTCGAGTTGGACCTATTTTGCTCGATTTTAGGCAAGTCGGATTGTATATTTCTCCAATCTAGCTCGAATAGGCATGGTCCATTTAACCTGTAAGGGGTACCCGAGTTATATAGATTGACTTGTGTAACCCACGGGATAACCCGTATGACCCACCACCCCTAGCTACTCCTACGCCTACCCCACCCCAATTTTTTAAAAATATTTTTTAATTTAAATGTGATTTGTATTAGAATTTAAAAGTATTATTAGCAATAATAATTGAACTCTTAATATCTTATTTAATCGATCTTAACCTTAAAAGACCAATTATCCTAAAGGTATTTGTTGCACTTTTTTGTATAACTATATAATTATTTCATTTAACCACAAACATTATATGGTTATGTAATTATATAATACATTATATATATATATATATATATATATATATATATATATATATAATAATAATAATAATAATCAAATGAAACCACCTCTTTCTGCGTGTCACATGAGAGCTTTCATAAATGCACAAACTCACAACCTCCCCTATAAAGGAGCAACTTGGTGCCATTGGACCATAAGATCTTTGGCATAAAGACACAACTTTATTTTCTTATATTTACATAATAGTCAACACCACATTTCAATGACATGATGCTGAACTCGGCTTTACAAGTTACCGCCCAACAATTTGGTACTCAATTTAATGAGATTGGCCAATTCACATGGGTAAAAATTATTCCGTAATGAATATCATAAAGATCTCAGAGGTATTAAAGTTTTTAATGAATCATTAGATTAAATTCTATTTACCAATAAGAAACAAAACATTTTCCAGATTTATGTTGGACTGTTAGATGGAGTGAGACATATCTAGTTAACTTATTTGTCTTCTTATATTAGCTTTTAAAATTGCATACCAAGTTCTTGGACTATTAGATATTTACAGTAAGATACTTTAATTTAGTTATTTATTTGGACATTGTTAAAATAAATATAATTTGAACTTTAATAATTTAGAAAATATAATGACACTTTTTGTCTCTAAAAATTATAAGAAAATATCATTTTTATCTATAAATTATATTATTATATTATTACTTTTCATCCCTCAATTATTTAGTTTGTAAAAGTGAACGCGTATAATTGAGAGACGAAAGTTGAAAGTGTCATTTTCTAATAATTTAAACACTACAAATTTTCTTTGGTGCTAATGATATTAAGTTGAATCATGTACAATATACTTGATTGTATTGTATACTATTGGCATTAGTATATGATAGTCTCATGTATAGGGAAAATGACACTACCCCCCCCCCCCCCCCCCCGAGTTATATGCTTATTGTATTTTTTTCTCCGAGTTATTCATGTATCTATATTTGCCCCCTCAGTTATGTTAAAAGTGGCAATTTTCTCCATTTATTGTTAAATGAACATTTTTACCTATTAAAAATAAGTATTTCATTTATTTTTTTCTCCAACAAATTATTGTGGGGTGGGTGGGGGGCTCCTTGTACGCAGTAAGCAAAGGTCTAGCCTCTGTGGTTCATGTTCAGTTGAGTTACCACAATTTACATCCTCTCAGATGCTCAGCCGGGCCGGAGTGTGGGGGGGCCCTTAGAGTTGGGGTTCAACCTTTTGGAAAATAAAAACAAATGAAATACTTATTTTTTTAAAGGTAAAAATTTCTATTTTTAACATAAAAGAGGAAAAATCATCACTTTAAACAAACTTAGGGGATAAATGTGGATACATAAATAACTTAGGAGAAAAAGTGCAATAAATATATAACTCAAGTTAAAAAAGTGTCATTTTCCAATATATATAAAACTATACCTTATAATATAACACTGTACGTAAAGAATTTTTATGAGCATCAACTCTATTACAAATGATATATCATAATTCATAAATGATCAAATTTAAGCGGGCCAAAGTTTAACATGTCCTTCACAAGCTCAACATAGTACATAGGAGCGTTCTGCTGTGGAATCTACCTCCGTGGGCACGATTTCACAGGATAATTTGCCAGCACTTAGCTAGCAAACTTAGGTGGGTTGAAAATCAACTATTTTTCACTTATACACACTATTAAATCACTCTCAAATAGTCAAATGTGTTAAATTATTTAAATTGTGCTCTCTCGATCGCTGTCCCAGTCAATAAATAGGAGATTTGGTAACTAAAACTTACCATTTACTACTTATGTGCATAATTATTGTGACACTCCAAAATCTATTACCTGCACTCAACCACCCTACTTCATTGATGATTGGGTATTGAAAACAGTTCCATTTTATCACTTAATTTAATTATAATCAACTAATCGAGTGGTTCCCAATTTTATTTTATTTTATTATTTTTTTTCATTTAGGGTCTGTTTAAAAACCCGAAATATAATTTCTGAAAAATGTTTTTTGAGTTTTCAATGTTTGGATGCAATAGGAAAATTCAGTCAACGGAAAACATTTTCCGTTGACTGGGAAAAATGTAGGCATTTGGCGGAAAATAACTTCCGCCGAAATTTGGCTGAGGTCATTTTCCGCCAATCCTCAAGATATGATTTCTGTCTATTTTTGGCGAAAACCACGGTTGTTTTTTTTTTTTAAATATTTTTTGATAAATAATAATATTATTATAAATATTTTTATATTCTAAATAAACTATTTAAAATATTTAATTACATAATTCTACCGATTTTCAAACATATAAACTAAATACATTAAGATAATTTTTCAGAATGCAACTAAGTATTAAAAAATAAAATATTTTTTGAAAAATAATTAATTTTTTAAAAATAATTTTCTTGCTTTCCAAACCACCCTTAATAGTTGAGGGTGAAAATCAAAGTGCTGAATTCTGCTAATATTGGTAATGATTGTTGTGATGATGTTGGCACTTGGCAAAACTATATAAAAAGGAAATAAATTTAAAATTTCATTTTCTTAAAAAAACAATATCATAATCAATCGTTACTATTACACAAAAAATTATAATTAGTAGCAAGTGTACAACTTTATTTATTTATATTTACATATAACAATTAACACTAAATTTCGGTGACAAGATGCTAGACTAAACCCTCCAACTCTCCATGCTAGCTTCTATCCATCCAAAAAACTCCTATTAACTTCCTTTTGATTTACCTCCTTTTGAGTCTTTACTTGCTAAGATCAAAAGACGATATTTAATCCTGTACACACTCTTAGATAGTTTCTGCGTATTTCCCATGTCACTATAAAAATAAAAATAAAATACACTTAATACTAATAGTACACAATTAAAGGAGTAAAAAAATAATACGGAGTAATGCAGTGAAGAAAAAGAAAAAAAGAAAAGGAAAAAAAAAATTAAAGATATGACCTAAAAGCACTTTGAATTCCTTTGGACCCATTTCATGTCTTCTTTCACCTCAGCTCCTCCATTATTCATCATATTAAAATCTCCATTAAAACTCTCTCTTCTCTGCAGCTAGCTAGCTAGCTCTTCGCCTCTTCTTAATTCCACCCATGATGACGTCCAGCAGTACGGATGAGAGAAGAGAGTACGGCGAAGGGTCGTCGTCGAGATTAGCCGCCACGATGGCAACTCCTCCTCCTCCTCAGCCGCTGCAGCAAGTGGCCGGCGGCGGCGTTCATCATCATCAGCTGAGCCGGTACGAGTCGCAGAAGCGGCGCGACTGGAACACGTTCGGGCAGTACCTGAAGAATCAACGGCCTGCGGTGGCGCTGTCGCAGTGCCACTACTCCCACGTCCTGAATTTCCTTAAATACCTCGACCAGTTCGGGAAGACTAAGGTCCATTCCCACGCTTGCTTGTTCTTCGGCCAACCCGACCCCGCCGGCCCCTGCACCTGCCCTCTCCGCCAAGCCTGGGGAAGCCTCGATGCCCTTATCGGCCGCCTCCGTGCCGCCTACGAGGAGAACGGCGGCTTGCCGGAGACCAACCCCTTCGCCATCGCCTCCATTCGCGTTTATCTCAGGGATGTCAGAGATTCTCAGGCTAAGGCAAGAGGAATCCCATACAAGAAGAAGAAGAAGAATAAGATAATAAACACAAAAAAATTTATTAATAATACTAATAATGTTCTCAAGGCTAATGATGAAGAACCTACTGCTACCCCTAGCTTTCAGATGCAATCGGCTTCTTGAATATTTGCAAGGAGAAAATGGTAAAGTTCTCATTCCTGCTTTAATTTCCAATAAAACCCTTATTAATTAGCTTCTTCTCATCTCTGATCTTCAGTATATATATATATATATATATATATTTCAATTCCTATATATATTTACTTTATATATGCATATATGTGTGTCTGTATCTAACATCACCACTCTATATATCAACTGTGTCCAGATTATGGTTCATTCTGAAGATTCATCAGATAACTCCAAGAATCAACTGGTTCTCACTCTATGAATGAATTGTCCTATGAATCACTAGAATATTGTTGGTCCACTATATTGAAAGAAATTTGTGAGTTTCATTTATATATGTTATAGTTTTCTACTAAGATAGAATGTATTCGATACGTAATGTGAAGTTTACATTGATATATAAAATTTATGATGTGGTAGGTGTTGAAAGAGTTTGTACTTTTTTTTCGGGGATTAAAATGAAAATTATGGGTCCAAGGTGATTAATTGCTCTTCAATTTGCAGATGATTGGAATAGTATTGTTATGTCTAGGTAATTTAGGTACCAAATTAAGATTAATATATAATTGATGAACCCTAAACTAGTGTTGCAAAAAACCTTAGCTAGGCTAGTCTTGTATGTATGTCTCTCATTGATGATAGACTACTCTAGTGGTTGTTAAATCTAGCTAGTACCTAGCTTGTCTAATTTTTTTTTTAATTTTTTTTTTCAAAAAAAAAAAAGATTTTTCTTTTATGGTAATGGTAATTGATATTTTTCTTAAATTCACCCGACCCAATCTAGTTTGGGAACGTCCATTACCAAAATCACTAAATGGGTAAGTCACAAATGCTTGAACTATGTAATATAATGTACTTTAATTTATTTATTGGGCCAAGGCACACATTTTTTCATATATTTCTAATCTAGCTATGTGTGATTCCTATTGAAGCATGTACTTGATGAGGGGTGGGTGTAGAACAAACGATTCTAAATATGAAAGCAGACTCTCCATTCATTAGATAAGAAAGGTAATCATGATATCGCGATTCATTGTTAATTAGGCGGTAAATCTTTTTTTTTTTTTACATAAACAATTCAATCCCTCTATAGTAAAGAGTATAATATTTCATACTTAGGGATTGTACTACCTCATAAGGAAAGAAGCAATGTTATATATATATATATATATATATATATATATATATATATATATAGAATCGCACTCAGGTGCGAACGCTTCGCCCAGGCGCAAAATAGGAATGGATTCTCTTCGTCCACGTGTCCAGATCTAATGGATGAGAAACACTGATTTTTTTTAAAAACGCGGTGGCATTTTCGTAAATAATTGAACATCGAAGTGCAAGTAAAATGTATTACAAGTGCATGTAAAATGTATTATAGGTGCAAGTAAAAATTTACACTGAGCATCAATACTTAGTTGCACCTATAGTTCTAAGTAGTTGCACCTATAGTTCTAAGTAGTTGCACATATAGTTATAAGTAGTTGCACCTAGGTGTATGAATGTTTGCGAGTGGTTTTCAGGTGTATTACTACCCGCTGAACTCAGACCAATGAATGTTAACTATGCAAAATTACATGCACTTATAGGTGAAAGTAAGTGCACCTATAGTTATAAGTATTTGCACCTATAGTTATAAATAGTTGCACATATAGTTATAAGCACACCCAGGTGCATGAATGTTTGCGGAAAGTGAATGCTAACAAGGCAAAATTACATGCACTTATAGGTGAAAATAGGTGCACTTGTAAGTGATTTTACTTGCACCTAGATGTTCAATTATTTACGAAAATGCCACCGCGTTTTTTTTAATTTATTAGATCTGGACACGTGTCGCGCGCTGATTCGTTCGCATTTCCTTCCTGGGCACTTATTCGCACCTGAGTGCGTCCATATATATATATATATATATATATATATATATATATATATATATATATATATATATATATATATATATATATATATATATATAGGGAAAATCGCACTTTTGGTCCCCTAATTGTTACCCGATTTGCAATGTGGTCCCCCATTGTTAATTTTAGTCAATTGAGTCCTTCAAATCTTTAAATCGTAGTCAATTTAGTCCTCCGGTCAAATTTCTTTCAAACCAAGGTTAGTACCATGGATATTTTGGTAATTTCACAATTTCCCCATTCTCCTCCCACACCCTTTACCCCCAAATTCATTTCAGCCCTAGCTTTCTCCTTGATCCTACTGCTGCGAAGACGAGCTGGTGACATTGAAGTTTTGGAAGGTGGATGCCACTTTCTGGTTTAGGCTGTGAGGGAGGGCGTTGAGCGGCGCCGACATGTAGATTCCTAAGCATGAGTTTATGAGGCGGGCAGACATGGCTTCCGAGAAGTATGCGGCGACTCTCTGAGCGGATGTTCCATATGGGTTTGAGAGCTCCGAGACTTGGAGGAGCATTTTGTTTGCTTCGTTTAAGTTGTCGGCAGCGAAGCTTCCGCACATTATAGGAGTAAGGTTAATAGATGGAGGCCTTCTTCGTGCGATTTTCTGTTGTTCAAGTTCTTCATTTTCTCTCCTGATAATTGGGGACATCCGACAGAATTGGAACGATAAATGGCCCAAGTTGTTTTCCCCAAAAACCCTGCAGCATATTCCTGGTTCTCCTGTTAAATTTTTCTAAGCTGCTTTTAAATTATTGATTTCTTTAAATGTGTAGGGTTTCCACCTTAACAACTCTGCCGCATTTGAGATTTTATTTGATAGAATATAATTGAATGTGCAGCGTATAGGTTCTTCATACCTACAATTGAAATTCAAAGTGGATTCTTTGAAAAGTGTTTCAAGCCTTCTCTTTCTATTTTGGCTACAATGAGCACTTGTTCTATAATTGTGCGTATCTGGGTTTGGCATTCAGTGACAGAGTCTGGTGGTGCAACAAATTATTTTCCAGCATCGTAATTTCAGTCAGTGGCAACGATTATGGTCTGCAGTGGAATCCATTCGTTGGCAGCGACAACAGTTTCCATTCGACACAACGGTGGGAATTAACTCTGATCTGGTTCTCTTTCTTTTTAAATATTGTTTTTTTTTTTCTTTTCTTTGGAAGATCATTTGGACCTCCTCTGCTGCATTTGCATTGTTAGATTCATTTCTGATTTTCTGGAATATTTCCAGAATTTACAGATTCCGGCAACCGGTCAGTTGCCAGACCGCCGTCGGTCGCCGGCGACCAAGCGACACTGCTGTCACCATGGACTCCGGTGTGAGTGACAAATATGAAAAGCCAATGCGGGAGGATAGAGGAAATTGGGGGTAAAACTTATTTGTAAAATTACTAAATTGTCCATGGTATTAACCTTGGTTTGAAAGAAATTTGACTGGAGGACTAAATTGACTACAATTTAAAGATTTGAAGGACCCAATTGACTGAAAACAATGGGGGACCACATTGTAGATCGGGTAACAATTAGGGGACCAAAAGTGCGATTTTCCCTATATATATATATATATATATATATATATATATAGAGAGAGAGAGAGAGAGAGAGAGAGATAATATTATATACAATATGTATTATGATTATGATGATCCTCTTATTTCTCTTGAATTCTTTATATGTTTAGAATTATTTATTTTGAGTTTTTTTAGGTGTTTAAACTGAAACATTTCGACACTGCAACATTACAATATTGTTGTTCGATCCAGTACTACTTTGTCTAGTCATTGTTTCAGCTTTTAGGATTCTGCATGCTGTTCTTTAATTGTTTGACATGTACATATGTACAATATTGGGTAGATTAAATCTACAAATTAAAAACATAACCTGTGAGGACTATCTAAGTTGATTTATCTTTGTAAAAAATGTTTATTGATATTTTTTTATTTGAATGGGTCAATTATGAGCAACTTATACTAGTTTACTTTTCTCTTGACTCTTTAATTTGCTGACTAGGATCGTAAGACGACAAATTTCATCAAAATATATATTCAGAGAGTAGTTGCAAACTTTCACATAAATAAAAAATAACTAATAAATATAAAACATAGCAATGATACTTGTCACAGTACATATCGTTTAATACAATATTTAGCACAAATAGTATTTTTTATTTTTGTTTATATACATTTACCTTATTTTGCACTGAGGATTCTATCTTATAGCATTTTTTATTATATAGGAAAAATTTGTAATACCTTCTACCCGATCAAAATACTCTTGTCATTTTTCTTTTTTGAAAAAAAACCATTGAACTTTGCACAAAATAACAATTAAATTAATGAACTTTAAAAATGTGCAATTAAATGCCTAAACTTGTCAAAATGAGTCAAATAAATTCTGTTTACTAGTAGAATACCATTGGTTACCATCGTTGACCGCCGCTAAATCGCTGAAATTCAAAAAAAAAAAATGACCTCTAGTTGCTTTCTTTAGTGAGGATGGCAACTAGATTGGTCGCCTTCTCCACTTGGGGATGACAATCAAACAACTATCAGTTAACAGCAAATTTACCAAGCACATTTTTACAATCAGCTAATTTATCAACTAGTTATACCCTCTAATTAACCCAATCAGCTAACAACTAATCGATATCAGCTAACAACCAATTACCAAACATGGCCAACGTCTCTTTTTTAACAACATAATCATAATTAAGTAGCTATATTCATATGTTGTAGAAGACAATACACGTCTGTTCTACAACATGTGAGTATAGCGTAGGGACAACTCCAGCTAAGTTAGTCATCAGACAATTGGAATCACAAGATTCTAATTTAAGTTTGACTCTTCGTGTGATCGAGTTGTCTATTGATTTTTTTTTTTTTTAACCCTATCAACTATGAACAACCTAAGGTGGTTTACTTCCTTATAGTCCTTTTTCAACTAAGACCATAAAACGAGCTTCACCCAGAATGCATTTTCAGGTAGCACTTGTGAACTTTTCCGTAGGTGTCTCTTTTTATAACAATAGAAGGGAATTGCCACATTTTATGCTCATTTCAGTATTAGTGGATACTGAAATTTTTCTTTATATATTATTTATTTATATTTGAGTACATTGATCAGCAGATCGATGAGACCCTTCCATGTCCTTGTTACTTAGAGATTCTCTTCATCTATGACATCCATCATCTCAAATCAACTTATGCATGTTTTGATGTACAAAGCATTATTATTGGAAAATTCTAGTGTAACACTACATTACCAAAAATAATATTATGCAATAATTGATATAAAAAATTTAAATAATAGTCCAAAATCCATACTGTTTTTAACTTTGGTATTGTACTAGTATGCCTTTGTACAAATTCCATATTATATTGGGAAAATCACCTC